GATTCTCTCTTTGCTGTGAGAGGAGTGTTTCACCTACCTTTGCATAACTCGAAAGTTTAGGACACAGAAAGGGCAAATACCATGTATAATAGATAATTTTTAGATCTTCTTCTTCTAAAGCAAGGTCATATAAAGGCAACGGAGATATAAAACTAAAAGGTGATACATGTGTATAAGAATGCTACTCAGAAATCAAGATCAAACACAGTCGAATTTAGTTTTGCTCTCGGACAAACACGGTTGTGGATCGAGTTTGAGAGTTAACATGCAAATTTCTTGGATTAACCTTAAATTTGAAAATCGGTGAACTGAAGCAGGACAAAAATGCTTATTTTTCATATAAGGTTTCTCTTATGAACAAAGGGTGTATAAGTTTCCGTAGAATAGTCCAAAGGTCGCAAAGCCTTCCTTGAAGGCGGCAAGTTTGCTTTATTTTCCAAGTACCCGCGCAAAATGTCAAATGCAACCATAATACACAACCCTTGTCACGCAAAATGAGCCGGAAAAATAAAACGTCCATAAAAGGAAACAAAAGTAGAGAAAAGGAGAGCTCAAAATTCTTGGAATGTAAAGTCTAGTAAATTATGTGTATTCTGCTGATTTTCCATTTCCTTTTGAGGTTTATGGAAAACATTAGACGGTTCTAAACCACTGTAACTAAATGACTTGTGTGGTTTTTATAGCTCCTGGAAGACAACTTTGTTATGCTATGTAATCAACAACCCACAACGCAGCTTATCGCGCATACTAAAGAGTTGCAGTCACGTCACGACCATTTTTTTTTAGGCTGGATAGGTTAACAAACAGCACACGCTGTGAGTTCTCCTTAACTAAAAGCATTTTATTCTTGATTTCCGAACAGATACTTAATGCACACTTGGCTTAAACGAAACACATGAAATTAGTCTACAGTCATATATTCGATGTTCCTGTTATTTTCTAAATAATTCCTTCTAATTATTGCTTTGTCCAGGATGGTGCAAAGTTCATCCAATGATATTTTAAATTTCATCTTATTTAAACGTTTATGAGGTCATATCTGTGATCAGTAAGGGATATATTTCGAAAAAATATCTGATGGATTGGCTAAATGAAGGATTATTGATGATGGTTAGATAACATCATTGGTAATGTTTTAGGAAAGCATTGAGGAAATCACTAAGCCGATGAACGACCAGTGGTACCGCAGAAACAATGAGCAGTTCGTGTCCCTAAACCAAGAAGGTCCTATCTTTGGTCACTACCTGAAAATTGACGGAAAATCTGTTGTTACATATGCCCTAGAGACAGATCCAAAAAGTAAGTATACATTCCAGTTTGGCCACATATTCACAGCTTTATTCGTGAAAAGATCGAGGTACATGGACAAGAAACAAAATTCAATGTAAATCAAATGCAGCAGTCTTCGGATGAGGCAAATCTAACCATGGCCGTAACTAAGAACAAAAATTTACCATACAATCTTTACAGACATCTACAGACCGGCCTGATATTCACACTTTTCGCTTTCCATAGTTTTTTATCAATTCAGTTTTTGCGAATCAGCGCTTTTAAAGAATAGTATTAAGACCTTGCAACAAAGCCTTGTCTTCACGCCTGGCATTCTTGAGTTTCAAACTACCCCAGGATATGCTTTTAACATGTAAAGATACTAAATCTATGAAACAGAAAATATACGGCCTTTAGATTGTTCTTATTAGCAAAATTCCATTTCTTGGGAATCAACCAGTATAAACCAACCTGTCGGTACTTTATAATTTTAAACTCTGGTGTTGAGTGCGTCCTCCGTCTGAACCGAGTCCAATCATGTTCATGATTACCCCTTCCTAAGGGCGGATCTAGGGGCGCAGTGTGCACTTCCCCCTTCCCCTGAGATGACCTGTCGCTTTCTAATGTAGCTAGAATTTTGCAAAATATTGGTTTACGTCCCCCATCAGTTACTTCATTCCTCAGTGATACACCCTTCTTAAGAAATATTCTTGATCTGCCTCAGCTTTTCAATCTTTTTTTTAGTTCCTCTTGAATATAAACCCTCCAATAAGACATAATAATTCATACTTTGACCAAATAGAAGGCGCTGATTTTGTAAAAGTGTGAGTGATGTAATGAAACGCTTTCGACCAGCCACAAAACAGCAAATCCAAATCGATCGTTTACTGTCTTTCCAGTGATATCAAGTTGCGTTATTTTTGACAGCTCAATTAAAGATCCATTCAATTTTGAGCAGAAGCCAAAATGCAGCACGAAAATACGAGGAAATTTGTATTTTGGAGAGTAGCACTGGTGGAACCGCAGTGGCCGTAAACAAAAGAGATGACACCATCTTTGTAAAGGTATCGTCACCAACGGGAATCGAACGTTAAGGGAAGAAGGGGGAGGGAGGGGGGTTGGAGAAAGTTCAAGTTAATTACTAAATATAACAAGTTTAAATATGGATCAAGAAGAAACAAAAGAAAAAAGATTTCAACCTATATGAATATATAAGCTCCAAATCCGCTTGGTTTAGAACCTTCAATTCCTGTTCATAACTACCAAAATGATTTAGTTTTTCTTAGTTTAGGACACATTTGGAAATGGAAGGAGATAATGCTGACACATAAGCGGCTTAAATTGATAAAAGAAAGCTGGAAATTACTAACTGAATACAATGTGTGAAGTTAAATGCTTCCTAGAGACTTTCTAACAATAATCTAACCCTATCTGGTTTAAGAATTAATCCAGTGTTTTTTCTCCATTAGACTCTGTCGACACCTTTGCGCAGTCTTAACAACTTGGATAAAGTGAAACGTCTTTATCCTGAAATTCTGTTTAAAAAAGTACCTAGAGAAGTTGGGAGTGACTACTTCTATTTTCAGTCAAACCTTAAAGATAAGAGGCGGGTTTTGGGATTTGATAAATATGGTCTTCCAATGAACACCGGCCAGGTGACGCCCAATTCTGAGGAAAGTCTTTTCACTCGAGGCTAACGTCATGGATAGAAACAAAGAACACACATGCGCAGTAAATAGAGTAATTTTGAAATAAACATTGCCATCGATAATATGGATATGAAACCAAACCGTAAACTCATAAACCAGAGACATGTAGAAATACTGTGATCAAGAATAAAAAGAGTGAAACTAAGCACACGGTCTCTTGGTTGAGTATGTCTTGTTTTTATCGACCTTCATCGTTTCCCCTCGGCCCTCGATTCATTTCTTAAAACAAATTGAAACGCTACACCTTTGCTAGAAAACTGGTTTTTGTTCCGGTTGCGTTGGTGCTTCAGATACGTAATCAGCTCACTCCCGTGGAAAAAAATGCAACACTATGCACTTTACCTGAACTGATCCTCTCAGTATATAGGACACTGGGCTAAAAATATAAACCTTAAAAGTGATCGCTCGCCAATAAATTAACCTCTGCAGCGCAGATGAATTTATGAATGTATATTGTGGAATATATATTACATATATTTATTTTTAATTGTATCTTGAGAGTAATCCGTGATCACATTTAATTTTTGTTAATTCCCTTCTTTCATTTGCACCAAATGCAAAACTAAATCCAGTCATGACTTTGCCCTCCTGTTTCCCGCTCTTTTCTTGTTGTTATTATCAGTTCGCGACGGTTCCTTGACACCTTTTCACTTATCTTGATTACTCGTTCAGATTATTCTTGTTTTGGGGTACAATTAGAAAAGAACTCTAAACTGGAATCGAATGCTGCTGTTACCGGACCAAACGTAGACTCTCTGATCATACCAGTCACCATCTTTTAACAACTTAATATCAAATCTTGATGGTTTTCGATAGTATTCAAAGCAGAATAACAATTACTTACTGACTATTTTAAGTGGCCACTCATTGGTATTTTAATAATGTGAACATTAAAATTAAGGGACACTACGGCTTCTGTCAATGCTGTGACCTTTCTCTATTCCTTTAATTTGCACACGGTAAACAAACAAAGGAACTTGCAAACGTAGGCAATTTGGATATCACCTTTTTTTTGAGTGGGGGCCTCAAAATGCCACTACGTATAAACTGTCAAAAGGAAATAAATAACCTGTTCTCGAGAGCAGAATATGTCTCGTTTTTTGTGTCGAGTCAAGTTGAAGCTACAGAAGGATGACCCAAATTTTGGAAAAATGAAAGAAAGTAGTTTATTCTTTCCTGAGCAGAGCAGAAAAATATATCAAATATTCTGCTACCTGGCAATGAAGGCAGAAATTAAATGACTTGTCTAGTTATTTGGATTCTCCTCCTTTATGGTTATCACGCGATCG